TCTCCAATGCCCACTTTTGGTGCAGGTCAAGATATCTGGAAACCCCAGAAATCTGGGTTAGCCCGCTTGTCCTTAAAAGCGACCAACTATACCTGTGAAATGGTACCAGGGTGATCTCCACCTCCATGACAAAAGTTTGAATACACGAGCAGGGAAATTTGAAAGAGAAAAAATGATAAATATACAGGGTGATTTAAAAAGAATACGCAAAAATCACAACGCGATATTTCAAAAAACGAAATACTATAGACAACTCTGGCTTCGACACATGAGTTGGAACAATACCACAAAACTAGTTTTTATTCTCTAAGAGAGAGAAATATCCAAACAGATTTAAATAGATAGTTTGCGACGCCAACGACACACACTCACACACACACACACACACACACACACACAAACACACACACACACACACACACACACACACACACACACCCCCACACACACACACCCCCATACACATACACACACAGTACAACACAACGATTAGACATGCTTCATTTACACACACATGCACTCATGGAAATCATTATAACACACTCAACATAATTACAAGAACACAACACTTACATAACCGTGAATCTACAACAAATACTTCCACGAGTAACGTAACATTTCCTCGGATAATAGGAGTTCACAAAACCATGAAATGAGCACTTCACCTATATTTCACAATGTAGCAAGGATGCAAACAAGGCAAGGACATACTGAGACTACGTGGTTTGTCAATGTCTCAAGTAACATTTTGCAGCTTGCACAGGCATTTGCGGTAAGACGAATTATTTGAAAAATATCTCTATATAATATAACTTATGAACTATAAATGTCAAACTTCTAAATAGGAAAACCTATAACAATAGGAGTTTATGTAAGAATATATATATATATTTGATTTCTTCAACAAAAAAAAATAAAAAATAAAGAAGTCCTTGTTAACCGCAGAGAGGTTTCATGCCAATCATGTTCTCAGCGCATGTCAACGGAAGCTGCACTACTTTCAAGATGGCTTCGCACACGCCCTTGAGCGGCTCGATACATGCGCTGAATGGCAATAGGAGGACATAGAGCCAAGCGATGAAGAAGCCAATTGGCCAGCCGAGGAAGATGAGGATGATGAACCAGAGGATGGCCCACAGCAGACCAGGGCACAAACCCCCGCGCCCAGATCCTTCGCCTGTGCCTTCACCGGAACCCATGACGTCACAGCTGCCGTACGAAACGAAGTGGTGCGCCGGAAATTACAGGAACAGTTACGTCACGATTCACCGGGTCTGAGGAAGATACAGATTGAACATCAAGTTTAAAAACATTGTAATACGAAATGTGAGTTATATTAGAAGGGGGGGGGGGTGCAGGATTAAAAGCTTAATTTAACCCCAAAAAAACATAAATTAATGTGCGTGTGTGCGTGTGTGCGTGTGTGC